CACCAATTATTCCTATTTTCCCCCATACAGTATACATTACGGTGGCGCGATTTCGCACACTTCAAATCAGGCAAAATTTATCTGACCCTGCACTGACGGCTTCTCCAGAGTACAAGCACTTGTTATTTCCCTGGCGCAGTGAACTGACTAAATCAAGGATGATTGAAGTTGTCATCACGAAATTTCGTTGCCGCGTTACCTCCCTCAATTTTTACTTGCATAGATCAGGCATATTGAATTCCCCTATGTGCATTTACTGTAATCAAGAGGAAACGATCAGTCATTTTTTATTACATTGTCGCCGTTTCGATTTATTCAGGCAAAGCATACTAGCACCACCTCTTCAAAGACTGGGCTTGCAACTATCACAGCCTGATCTTCTTTCATTTGGAGCCTCTACACTGGGTTTCAGCCACAGGGATGTTTTATTCGCCGTTCAAGAATACATCACTGCGACTAAACGATTTTCTTGCTAAATTACTGTCTCACTATTTTTCTTCTTTTTTTTCTGCAAACTTGATATCGGTATTTCAAATCAAAATTAAGTTACAAAAAAATTGTAGGAATGACACAATGCTGAAAGTTTAGGGCAAATTCACCTTAAAATCGGCCAATCCCCTTCTTTGGGTACGAGCCATTTCTACAGGGAAACAACAAACAACAACAACAACAAATTCGTTACAAGTGCATAGCGGATACCACGCTTCTCCGAAGAATGACGAAGGAAAGCATAGTGAATGTGGGCCTGCTATGCAGAAATTATGAATCGCACAGTGGGTACCTTGGATGCGTGCATTTACCCAAATAGTGTTTGCTCTGAAAGGCCACTCTTCATGCTTTCGCTGTGACTGCTGTGTCTTCCGCGCAGGCCTGGCGCTTTATGTGTGCGTTATTGGTTTCTGCTTGAGCTATGTAATCTTTTAATCCGGTATTCGAAAATCTGAAAGAACGGAACTCAGATTGGGCAGGGAAAATTTCATCGTATTCTATCGTAATATTAAGATTTCGTGGCCAATGAGCAAAAAACAAAGCCACTGTTGCAAGCGTACTGTACGCGGGATCGAGTGTAGGCGCGCTTCAGAGACACTGATAGCCACAAAGCTGGGGACACATTCGCAGCGCTTCTGGCTCCAACGTAACCAAATGTTTTGTTTTAAAAGCAGGGCCGCCCGAACATAATATGCACCCAAATCACAATATTGGACGCAATTCGTATAACATAATGAGGTATATATATATATATATATATATATATATATATATATATATATATATATATATATATATATATATATATATATATATATATATATATATATATATATATATATATATATATATATATATATATCAGGGAAAGAAGTATATATTGAAGGGCTCTTCTTTCCGTCTTTTGACGCAATATTAATGAGATCTAACAGACAATAATGTCACAGAAATTACAGAGGAACTTATTACACCGAATCGTAATGTAAATGCGTAGAAAGAAAAGTGGCTGAGAAGATAACTTGCCCACGGTTTTAACACATCGCGTTGTCCGCAAATATGTACGGACTGCCTTAGACTGTGTCATTATGTCTTGCTCCTCCGGCATCAAAGCTGAGCGAATTTTACCATAAATGCGCCTTTACAGAAATGTTTACCTCAGTGTGCTAATGCGCTTCTCCTCTGTAAGTATGGTCCTGTTCGAGCGACCCAGAGGCTCAATACTGCTTTTTTTAGCCCGATTTCTCATGCGTTTATCGCCTAAGTGCATGCTCGAAAAGCTGGAACTTCCACCCGAAAGATTGTCGCTGCAAATAAAATAATGCCATATGTTTATAAATGTTATTTCTTTATCATCTGTGAGGAACGTTTTGCGATATTTTAAGAAAAATTGAAGATGGGGTTCTTTGCATATTGATTTTTCGATAGGCTTTACTGTCGACGAATTTGAAAGTTTGAGTTCATATGTAAAATTACGTGCTTGGGGTACAGCCACGGGATTGACAGGCAATATTTTAAACATTATGTTATAATATGCCACCAAGTTATAAAACATTAGCTCGTTTAGCTTAGGAGAAAAAAAAATCTCAAATCAAGCAACTTTCAAAAATGTCACCTGTTCACATACTTTTCCCAAACACTTTGCTTCAGCATACAAGCCTCAAGCAATGCTGCTACACTTTTCATTACGTGTACATTTACTAGAAAAAAAATCATATTCATCCAGCTAATATTTGTGTTTTTATATCGTCGGTAACTCTCGAAAATGACAAAAGACGAAACAGGTCCCTCTGTACAAAGTTCAATATTTTTTCTCCTAAACTATGCAGTTAATAAAGAAACGATGTGCACTTTAGGGCTACTGGGTGGTATGTGAACAAAATATAAAATAAGCAATCAAATCTAAAATATCAACTTTTCGACCCGAGTCCATCTTCCCTAGTCCAAACGCAAGATTTCTTAAAGGAACTAAACATGTCCCGTCTCTTTTCTGTAAAATATTTCAGCAGTCTCTAAATCAAGGCGAGGTGTCACTCGTATGGACAGAGGCGAAGGTGATTTCGCTACACAAGTCCAGAAGCAAGCATTATGTCACAAATTACCGACCTATTTCACTTACCTCTATACTATCTAAACTTCTGGAGCACATAATCTTCTCTAACTTGGTCAACTTTCTAGAATCAAACACGTTTTTTTTTTTTTAGCACGGCTTTAGGAAGTCATTCGCATTGTTTTACCCATTCCTCACACACCATCTTTGATCGGAGTTCATTGGTCGACTGCATTTTTTATATTTTTCGAAGGCTTTTGACAAGATTGATCATCAACAACAGAAGCTTAAGACCCTTAATACTGATGGTGGTCTTGAATTTTTCTCAACTAATCGTTCACAATTCGTTGTTGCTAATATCCAATGCTCCTGTAACTTCAGGTGGGCCCCAGGAATCTGTGATTAGGCCCTTGCTATTAACGATTTACCCGCTGTTATAATTTCTTCCATTAATCTTTTCGTGAACGACTGCGTGGTTTACCGGGAATCTAACTTTGACGCTAGTACCTTGCAAACTGACATTTATAATATTTCTATCAGGTGCAGAACTTGGAGCATGGACCTTAACACTAACAAATGTAAAGTTTTACGCATCTCATGAACTATGGCACCTCCTGTTAACGACACCTCAAATCACGCTGCTCTAGATTCCATAACTTCGTATAAATACTTTCGAATTCACAGAACATCTCACTTGAGTCGGAAGCATCACACTAACTACGTACGCGGGGATTAATTACTACGACGTAACTTTATTCGCGCCCCTCAAGCCATAAAACAAGCAATGTATAAAACGCTAGTTCGTCCAAAGCTCGAATATACATGACGCCTTTCAACTGAACTCACTTCCTTGAAATATAGAATAACGCACCACACTTCATAGTATCTAACTACCATCGCGCCTCAATGAAACACTCCCTTTCACTGCAGTCACTTGAATCACGTCGCACAGCATCACACATTTTTCACAAGATATGTAAACATTAAATTCGTTTATTACAACTTCATCCTATCGCTCAGCTCGTTTAGATTATCCCTATAATGTACACATTATTAGCTGCTGCACTAACACTTACGATAATTTTTTTCGTGCCACGCACATCCAGCCACTGGAACTATCTTCCCGTCGACATGGTTTGCATTTCAATCCATGACTTTTTTCATCTACCATACAAAATTACTTACGTGATGACACGCAAAATCTGTAGAGTATATATATATATATATATATATATATATATATATATATATATATATATATATATATATATATATATATGTACCTCACTCTCCTCTGTAAAGCTATGTGCGATTGAGGGTAAAATAAATGAAACATTTTCTATGCTCTCCACGTGTCCGTTCGACACCGCCGAGTTGACCGCACTGGCGACCTCACAACACAACACCGCACTGTAACACTCACAGTGACCCAATAAAAAAAAAATGTGTTTTCAAACGCGGATTTGTGTTCGAGCAAAAAGGCGTCCTCGTCGCCAAGTTGGTGTGTTGCAGTAGACCACCACCTGATTTTGTTTTGTTTTTTTTTTTCTTTGCAGTGAAAGCTGTATATGGCAAGGAGGAGAAACGAAAAACCGTTCGGCATCGGTGTCACGAGCGGTCTCCATTGGCTGTGCTATGAGTTACGTCGTTCTTACCATCGTACCCAAGCAAGCGCGCCATTGGCTGCGTTGTGAGTGACGTCGCCGCAGCCGAGCACGCGCGCATCTGTTTCTAGTACTAAGAGCTTCCACATGGGTAAGCCACGGATCCTACCAACTACCAAACAGCGCCGACAGTGCAAGCATGAGAGAGCTCGCGTTCGCCGACGATGCGGGCTCAGACACGGTACCGGGAGGCAGCTGCGTACCGATCTGGCAGCCTTCCAAGCCGCGCTCAATCGAGAACGAAGGCGCGAGCGGATCCTGCAAACCACGCCGCGCCGAACAAGCGGCGTTATGTGATGTTTGCGGGAGTTTATGCAGCGGCCCTTTGGCTGCGGTTCGAGAACAACCACTGTGATTAAGGCGTTGGGAAAAGCACTTAACCGCTCATTACACTCTTCCATGCGATGCACAATGTGCGGCGTGTCAAATAAACACTGTGGTAAACCCAAGCCAAAGGTGGGTCTAACCTCACTAAGAAGCACGAATTAACACGCAACCAACAAATGTGAAAGACTTCGGTGTAGCGACGTCGGTTTGAACCCACGGCTTAACAGCGGGGCCGCACATTTCAGCTTTGTGCGGAGTGCTCGGGCCGTATTTTTTTTTTTTTTTCGTCATGTCATACATAGCACGAAATGATGGCTCTACCACATCTGCCTTTTCGGCGCGCACATTCAGTCAATTCAAGTTTCAAGAGGCACACCTTTCTCCCCCCACCAAACGAATCACCAATAAAATTATAAGTTTTGTCTCTCGGTGTGAGATTTGGGTGTTTTAAAAACGAGGCTGTTTGCACCCACCTTCAGAGCGCTGCCGTGGCCGGATACCGCAAATCTGGAGACAGTGGTTTCGTGGTCTACGCCCGTTTGTTTCGAAGGGGCACTGTAACAGACGTAGACGCTCTTCTCGTGGGCGAAATCTGGGTCCAAGACGAAGCTCAGCAGTCCGCGCTCGTCCGCTGGCGCATTCGAAGTCGCCACCTGACTCGTTATGTTCAAGAACACGTGCGCGTTCTCTGGAGCCCCTAGTGGCACTTGCAAGATTACGCCCCTGTGCTCCCCGACAAGCAGCTGCTGCTTGGACAAGGGCACAATGCCTACGGGATGTCTGAGACCCCGCAATATTCCCTCAAAACTGTAACATGCTTCTGAGCGGCACATGTCGAACAGTAGGGCCAGGGCGCACACGAATCGCACTACGCGCCTCATCGCGATCTTTTTACGCTCGCATGAAGCGGGCTTTTGCGGAGAGCTTTTCGTCTGCTCGCAATCCCCCCGCAAACAACCAGCCAATCGCAACGTGGGAAGGCGTAGCCAATCAAAGCCTCTCAAGGCCATGACGCGTTTCAAAACGTTAAAACGCGGCTGCGCTAGGCCGCGCGTTTGCCGAGCACGCCGAGGGCGCCTGCTTGTATTGTATCCCTCCTTGGTCCGCTTGCCGATTATTGACCTGCACTTGCATTGTGGCTATGAAACGAAAAGCTGCGCCAGGTAAGTCGTAACACGAGAGGCTGTTTATCGTTCAACATCTCTGTTTGAGCGGTTTCTGCCGCGCTGGCCGCCTCGGCCGGATGCGATGCGGATGCTCTGTTTTGTTATTACTTGTTATGACCAGTGTCGAATTGACCAAGGACGACACGCGTTCATGCAGTATCGTTTTACCCCGCGCGAAAACAAAAAAAAAAGTCAATCGCTTGATGTGAGAGTGCCGTTACCAGCGATATCAGCCAAACATGTGAAACGTTATCAGTTGGTGCACGAAATGATGGTTCCTTCGTTTTCACCTCCAGAACCCTCGAACAGGCCTCTGTCGGCGTGGGAGCGCCGGCGGTTATACTCAAACCAGCTGTAGGTATACACCACTTTCGGCACAGACTACTCTGTATTAACGTCACCTTGTTTGAACAGGCGAGAAAAAACGATGCTTCGTACTCCGGAACTCTCCCGCGCAAATGGAACAACCCCTACGAGGTAGGTCTACCTTCCGCCTCGCTACCAAGTGTGTTCAAATGGGGTTACTTTGCTCGTCGTCACGAATGACGGGGGATGGTCATCCTCTCCTCACTCGAGTGTATCATCCTTGGAACAGCGAGAAGAGAGCGCCAGGGCGTTCGCATAACATCCGAGCCGAAAATTCCGTTGGACAGTCACAGTCCGAGCCGAATTCGGACCCAGGCATTATTCTACCACAGAGCCAAACTAGTGCTTAATACTACTTCGGCAAAAGGTCTTGTCTCGGCGACGTCGTTCATGCTTGCAGTGTTTGCTGTGCACTTTAATACAAGTTAATTAACCGATTCAGAAGAACACGCCAATGATTGCACTGCAATGTGCGCTTTTTTGCGATAAAGCTCAACTTACCTTCAGGTGCTGCCATTGTATCAGATGTGCCTGGTAAGCCCTCGATGCAGCCACATATACTAAATTCACACCGATGCCTATCCTCCAGTGGCGTACCAACTCTATCGCGAATGGGGGGGCTAACCTACCTCACTCGTCAGCCGGGATATATATATATATATATATATATATATATATATATATATATATATATATATATATATATATATATATATCCTACAAGCGAAAACATCACAGCGGCAATGTTGGCGAAATTTCATTATGTTGTAACATAGCCTCGTAACAATTTCATCTTCCGTAAGAACATGATTGAGTGATTACTGTTGTGATGGAAAACTACGCTTTACTCGTTGGTTTCGCCAACCTGCAGCCAAGAGTGACCACTGTCGAAAGTGGGGGGGGGGGGGGGGGGGCTCGCGCTTCCCTAGCCCCCCCCCCCCCTCCGGCTGTATGCCTATGCTATCCTCCTCAAGCCAGAAAATTGGCACACAGGCTCACTTACTGCTTTGCATGAAGTTGATGCATGTCATGTGCCGATATTTTCTGTGATAGTGTGCTGAGCACATTTTGGCATAGTGCATTTAGTCTGCATTAACCTGCGTAGAGAACAAATGTCTTGGCAGTTATCGCTTGCGTAACACTACACGAGTGCTCGATTGACGGAGACCCTGCATGCACAGATGGATTGCATGTCTCCCTCATTTTCTCTGGTGGGTCAGCATTTTTCATTCTCATCTCCAGTGTCCATGTTTGCATGAACATTTGTGATGAATAAGGACTGGATTATAAGCAAATCAAATGCCTATTTTGTTTCTTGCATTCCTATCATATTACTTTGTTATATCAGCATCAATTATAGAGGTTAAGAAGTGCTTTTATAGTGATCTTATAGTGCATATAAATGACTATTTCCAAAATCAGTGACTATATGCGCACTTTTTAACCTCAAATTTTGCTTTCGAGTACATTTGAAGAGCTGTCTTCATGTTATCAGGCAAAATTCATCTTTCTGAACTCTATGGGATGCAACCTATACCCAGTCTCATAACTCCCTTTCAGCACTGTCAAGGCTACAAGGCCTGTTAGCAAATAAGGTAGTTGATTAGCCTAGACACATGTATTTTATTTAGATACTGGGGAAATTTTACTTGGACACTGTAAATCGTTTTCGTGCCCAATGAACAGTTTTTTTTTTTTTTTTTTTCAGTTGGTTCATTACGGGCCGCAAAGGCACGATGCGAGAAGATGAGCTTGAAACCTTGGCCACTTGCCCAGAGTAGACTTAGCAAGCCAAATTCCTTCCCTGCCCTGTTCAGTATCAGAGCAACTTGGAGCCGGAAGGTCACAAAATGCAGACGCATCAACACGTCATGTGCAGGCAACATTACATTCGCATGACGTGCGCAAGCTAGGTCGAGCATGCACAGTGTTGTGTCGTTTTGACATTCTCTGTATTGTACTGCCTATTTCTGTGGGATGGATCCCTCAGTGTGCGCACGTTTCGAGAGGCTGTCATGAATCATGTATCTTTACCACGATATACAGCGTCGCATCTCTGGAACTTCTCTACGAGACGATGCCCCAAAAACATGCCAAACGTTGCACGATGTGAGAACAGCGAGAACACCAACACAAACAAAATGGAGGCAGATTAGTCTCGCATATCGCTCAATACAAAATTAAAGAAATTACATGCATAGATTCCATTTGTATGTTTGAATATTTGCATCAACCTTCATAATTTTATTTAGGCAATAGATTGCATAAATTACACATGTCGCCTGGAATAATTCTCGCAGTGTCGTGTACTACTTAGACGTACACTAGACCATTCCTTGTATATGTCACCTCCACCATGTTGAGACGCCCGTGATATGGAGGTCAAGTGGCGTTCAGTCTGACGTTTGACCTCTTCCTTCAGCTCGTAGTATTGGAAATCTCGACAGATGAGATCGTGAGCGCTCAGTGCATCGATTTCTCTTGCCTGCTGGAAATGTCCAAACCTGGTGAAGGGCCCTTTTAGGTGTTCACGGACAGAATAGAGCTTAACCCTGTGCAGTTAAAAGTTCATACAAGGATAAAAAACCTTCCTGGCTTATTAGCGCTCAGCCTATTTGCTCCTGTGTTGCCCTTTTCAGCCATGCCGAAAAGAAAGAGACCCAGAAACGTGTTTATTTGACAGTGACCCTTAACTCACCGTGCAGAACTACAAAAGGAGACACCGTATTCTGCAAACCCTGCGTGAAAAAAAAATTGCACGCCTAACCTAAACCATTGGCACCTTAATACCACCATAAACTAAAACACTTCTGTTTGCATTCCGGTCGTAGACGTATATCCCACACGTATTTCTTGGAAATTCTGAATTTTGTCTAAGTTTATTGTGCCTATATTTACAATCTTGGGGGCCTAAAACAGTGTTTTTCCCACCTATTTTTGGTGCCTAAAACCCATTTTGCAGTGCCTATTAATTTAGCCCCTAGTCATGAAGCACACGCTTATTGCCGCAGCATTGTAGGTTGGGAACTGTGCTGCAAGAACCAGCGAGCTCAGTAAGGGCATGTGTTCGAGGACTCGAAAAAGACCCGTTTTGCTGTTCATGTAGCCCACTGCTCATGGGAAAGGGTTAGCGCAGGGGATGACGACGTGTTCACTGGAGGGAATTCCAGAAGCAACGGAGAGGAGAAGCGATTGTTTTTTGGAATTCGTAGAGCACTTCCAGCTCGCATTGTTGAATGAAACAGCATGCTGAATGCGATGTGTGTATTTGCTTGAAATGTTTAAAAAATTGTTGCTAGTGGTTTAGGAGCCCTTCAACGTGTACCAGAGTATTATAGCTTCATTAACTTCAAGAAGAAAGAAAACCATCTTCAAAGTACAACTGCCTGTCAGTGCTGGTCTGACTTGTAACTGCTTACTCTAATGTTGGCTTTTTTTTTCAGTTCGAACAAACCCGGGCGCCGAAAATCTTCTTGCCCTGCATCAAGAAGGAAATCGCCTAAAGCAGCACAATCTCTCGCTGCAAGAAGTCAGCATGCCAGAAATCTCATGTCCATAATGAAACCAAAGGTGAAAACAAATGCCCTCACATTGTCGTGTTTCCATACAATTGATGGTTATGAAGCTGGCTTAATATTTGTGTCATGCCTTGCTCAATTGAGCTTGGACATTACATCTTACTCAATGTTTACACTGTGAAGAAGTAGCTTAAGGCAACATTTGCATCTCAACTCTGGAAATTCATTGAGGGGCTGAAGTATAAAGATATTCACGGGAGTGAGTAATGTGAAATGGTGCTGTTTCAGGCCTCGAGTCAATCGGTGCGAGCTAAGGCAGCTTCTGCAGTGCACGTGGCACCACCATCATCCAAGAGAGCCGAGGCACTCACTTGCAAGCCTACAGCAGCCACTAAAGTGCATGACAAAAAGTGTGCCCCTACAAAGTTTCTACCACCGAAACGGAAGCCATCTGTAGAGGTTTCCTTAGCACAACGCAAAGTTGAACTGGTCAGAACTGCCCTAACTCACACAAAGGTTGTGAAAGCATCCCAGGCAGTTGAAGCTCAGAAACGATCTCGCCCGCAAGTGAAAGTTTGCAGGCAGTCAGTGAAGACACTTAGTGACAAAACACCTCGTGGACCATCGGGGAGCAAGCTTAAAAAGAGAGCAGCCTGCGATGAGATGGCGAAAACTGGAAGCAGTAGTTCGACACCGTCGTGTTCAGTGATGGTCGAAAAGGTTGCTTTAAGTGAACTAGCCGACAGTTCGAGCGGCAGCACACCTTACCACACTGCCCACAGTATCTGCCTCTCTTCGGACGACAGCGTTTCTCCAGTTGGCAAAAGAAAGCTCACACCGCTCCATTCTTCTTCACCGGTGAAGACTCCTGACCAAACGCCTGCCACGGAGCTCAATGACACGTTCACACTGGAAAGCCCAAAGAAAAGGAGCTCCAAAAAGCCGCCTTCATCCTGCCTTCGCAAAGGCACGTCTTGCGTCAAGAAGTCTGTGTCCTTTACGATGCCAGCACGACAGAGCGGCACACCAAAAAGGTTACCCAAGACTCCCAGACGCAGCCGCACATTGCAGTGAGTAGTGTCATTGCATGCTTTTGTATGCATTCATTTGTGGTCATGCACAGGAGTTTGGTGCTTCACAAGTTTACAAAAGGAGGAATCATGGTGCCCTGTACTTGCAGTAGGCATTCTGGGATGGCTTGAAACTATCTATGTGATGTGAGCCTTTCCTGGCAGCACAGTTGAAGGTGATGTGCATGGGGCCAATTATGGTCTCGCATTTTGTGCTTTAAGGTGAGGCTGAAGCGTCCTTTAGATCCTTTTTGTTTTCTAAGCTTGTTGAATACAGAAAACATTAAAATATATTATGTCTTTCCGAAATGTGCCTCAATGCTTATCGCTATCGGTACTAGTACAAATGATGCATATCCAAAGCATAACTAAAGCTACGTTGTGCTACATTAGAGTGGGCACCAGTCAAGCCTTAAAGGAGGATCGGCTGCAAACTAGCTACTTTCAACTAGCCAAGCTGCATGGCAAGTGCTTTGCATCGTCGCGCAAACCTTCAATGACATTTGAAGTTTGTGCACGCACTCAAGCGTAATGCCAGGTCAGTGTAGCAGCAAATGCGAGAGACTGGATTGGATTGGTGTGCTTGGCTGGCGGCACCAAGATAAACCAGGCAAGCACAGCGTTGTTACTGCAAAAAACCTAGTGTATTCTGCATACGTGCTTACTGGCATGAATTTTTTGGCAGTTGTGTAATTTCGTATGCCTTGCTTTACTCAGGGGCCTTAAACGACTTCTGATATCGTTTTAATATTTTTAGTAAATACGTGGATCAAGCTCAGACTGTCGTCTTGTCGAACAATGCCAAACGCAGCAGTGCTTCAGGCATCCCTAAAACTCCAAGAAATTCCCAGCAGTAGTTGAGACATCAGCATATGCATCTAGTTATGTCGTCCATAAAAGAAGCCTGTTTGTTTGCTCGCAGGTATGAGACAAGCTGATGAACAGAGCATAGTATAGAGTTAAAGCCGCTTTTGGATCATCCAGTGCGTGTAGCTCTGCTCTAATGGCACTGTTTCGAAAATTTTTGAAGCATCCTGCATTGTTTCGCACTAAACCAGGTGTACCACAAACACGTATATGGGAATCACTAAAATCCTCCTGAATTTACCAATTGTTGAAGGCACCCGAATGGTTACTCGCGCGTGTGCAAGAGTAGACGATGCCGCATTGTGTGTGCAATTAGTTAGTGGGAGCATATGTTGTCATGCTACCTCACAGTCTAACTCAGCGCCCAAAACATGAGCATATTTGAGTGTGTATCATGCTTGCAGGAGCAATTAGATATGTTTGAAGCAAAGCATACACAAGCCACAAATTTGGTGTCTCAACGCTTTCAAGCCAAAGCATGTGTGCATAAAATGAATGCTGTCTTTACTGAGCAGGTTCACATCATTTGGAAGTGGGTTGTTTTCGTATTTCTGTAGCCACTGTAGCTGAATTCTCAAAGAAGTCAATTTCGTCTAGTCCGAACATGGCTGCAGAGAGCATTAGGAACAGGCAGGCTTTCTTACATCCATAGCCTGCCTAAGCATTTGTGGGAACTAGGCATGGTGTTAACATTGTGTTTACAGCTCCCAGTAAGTTAACCAAGGTATGTGCCACCGTGCCATGAAGGAATGAGCTAGTGTGGGACAATAAGCGCACTTGTATGGTACGCCTCATGAACAAGCTCACCGATTGCTGCATAGGTGTAGTATATAAATGTACCTCTTAGTGGCGGCTGCTTCAACTTAAAGCAGACTGGCTGCTTTTGCCTTGTTTATAAGATAAGTAGAGATTAAAATTCAGTGAATGTACACGGTGCAAGAATGAAGACAAGTGTCTGACGGTAAAGCCTGGCATATTGATTGTAGTGATAGCGTATGCTTTAGCCAGCCGTTGATTGATGCATGAAGAAACGAAATGCTGAACTATTTAGTAACCCCAAGTTCACCGAACTGACGGGTAGTGCTGCGTGCCTGCAGATGTGCAAATATGTTTTGGCTTCTTTCTTTTCTGCCGCAGTGTTAGTTGTTGGCATTTGTCTTGATTAGATCTTTTCTGTTGTGTTCATGTCTGTGCACACACCTCCTTTATCATGAATCTGTGCCAATTAGACCCACTTTATCTCAATGTAACCGGAACCTGAAGTTGGCAACATTTAACGATAGAGGGTGTTGAATGGAATGTAATAGGGCTCAGTGAGGTTAGGAGGACAGATGAGGCCTATGCAGTGTTGAATAATGGGCACATTCTTTGCTATCGTGGCTTGGCTGACAGAAGAGAACTGGGCGTGAGTTTCCTTATCTACAGAAATATACCTGGTAACATAGAGGAATACTACAGCATTAATGAAAGGGTGGTAGGTATTGTAAATAAACTCGATAAGAGATACAAGATGGCATAGGGTTATGCACCTACACTCAGCTATGATGACGTGTTAGTTGAAAGCTTCTATGAAGACGTGGAATCGGCAATGAGTAAAGTAGAAACACAATATACTATACTGATGGGAGACATCAATGCCAAGGTAGGGAAGCAGCATGCTGGAGACCAGGCAGTAGGAGACTGGCATCGGTACTAGAAATGCCAGGGGGGAGCTTCTAGTAGAATTGGCAGAACGCAATAATTTATAGATTTTAAATACCTTCTACCAAAAACGATGGAACCATAGGTGGACACGGAGGAGCCCTAATGGCGAAAATAAGTGTGAAATAGACTTTATACTGAGTGCACACCTTGGCATTGTGCAGGATGTGGAAGTGCTTGGCAAGGTACGATGCAGTGACTATAGAATGGTACGGTCTAGAATCCGCCAAGACTTGAAGAAGGAACGACAGAAACTGATACGCAAGAAGCCAATCAATGAGCTAGCACTGAGAGGGAAAGTACAGGAATTCAGAGTCTCGCTTCAGAACATATACTTGGCTCTTATCGAGGAAAACAGCCTTAGCGTCGACGCAATGAATGATAATCTGACGAGTATCATTACAGAGTGTGCAGTGGAAGTTGGAGGTACGGTAGTTAGACAGGACACTGGCAAGCTGTCCCATGAAATGAGGAATCTCATTAAAATATGTCAAAGCATGAAAGCCTGGAATACAATAGACAAAATAGAATTGGCAGAGCTTTCGAAGTTGATTAATAAGCCTAAGGTATCCAATGTAGGTAGGCATAGCATGGAGAGAATTCGACACACTCTAAAGAACACAGGAAGCTTCAAAGTGGTGAAGAGGGAACTTGGGGTAGGCAAAAACCAGATGTATGTACTAAAGGACAAAGAAGGCAAAGTCACTACCAGTATGAATAGGATAGTTAGAATAGCAGAGGAGTTTTACAGAGATCTATACAGTAGCTGGGACAACCACGACCTTAATATAAGAACTAGCAGTAACCCAGATGGCATCCCACCAGTAATAACAGAAGTCGGAAAAGCTTTGGAGGGAATGCAAAGAGGCAAAGCTGCTTGTGAGGATCGGGTAACACCAGATCTGCTGAAAGACGGAAGACAGATTGTGCTAGAAAAACTGGTTACCCAGTTTACGAAGTGTCTGCTGAGGGGGAGGATACCAGAATCTTGAAAGAATGCTAGAGTCGTCTCAATACGTAAGAAAGGAGATGACAAGGACTTGAAGAATTACAGGCAACCAGCTTGCTCGTTGTGTATACAAGCCATTTACAAAGGTATTTGCCAACAGAATTAAGACATTACAATTCAATCAACCAAAAGGCAAAAGCAGGACTTCGGACAGGCTACTCAACAATCGACCACTTTTTTTTTTTCAATCAATCTGATTTTTATTGACAAACCAAAGAAAAGATTACAAGATATCTGGACCGTTAGCCTACATTGGCTTGTGATCGGTCCATATCAAAGTACATAAAAGTAGCTTAGCAGAGCATATTTAGCAATAAACACATATATACACAATTATTTATACATAAAACTATTCACATATGCACATACATACTACATACATAAGCGCGTGTACATATATGCATTTTCACAACATACCCAAATATAGTTTGTTTCATCATCATCGTCATGTATAATAAGTGACTGGGTAAAAGCACTAATTAGCGCAAAACAAAAAAGCCTATTTATATGTCTTGATGCTGCAAGCAAAATAACTTCACACTGTGTTTAAAATTTCTTGCCACTTTAACTTCTAAGGGTAGTCGGTTCCAAATTTTAGTCCCATGGAATTCCAATAAGCGTTTTCCATAGAAGTTATAGCTTGTAGGTAAGTTGAAATTGCCATTTGATGCGTGTCTAGTGTTTCGCGATGGTATTGTAAATAGAGTGGAGGAGAGGGGAAAGCTAGTGCCTATAATTTTTTGAACAAAAAGGGCAACCTTATAATCGCGAAGTGCCCAAACTGATAAGATTTGTTGTTCCTGAAATGTAGTTTTATATGAATTTCCGTGGTTTCCACCTATTATGCTTAGGGCTCTCTTTTGTAGTCGTAGTAATGGCTCTAGGTATGTCGTATACGTTACACCCCACGATTCAATACAGTAGCTAATATGTGAAGGACAGAAGGAAAAATACAATGTTCGAAGCACGCTGGGGGGAAAGCATTCGCGTGCTTTGATTGAGGTATGACAACCGTAAGCCACCTTTCTACAAACACTATGAATTTGTTCTTCCCAGTGAAGGTGCTGGTCAAAAAACACTCCTAAATATTTAAAAGAAACCACTTGTTCGATAGGACTGTTGTTCAGGTAAAGTTGCATAGACGCCGTGTCAATATCCTTTCGCCTTGATCGAAAAACAACATACTTCGTTTTCCCCGAATGTAGTTTCAATTTATTCTGTATAAACCAGTAGCTTACGTGTGTTAATTCAGACATTATGTTGGCTTGCAGTGTTGAGAGACTATCTCCTGTGAATACTATGGCGGTATCGTCCGCGTACGTTAATGCTTTAGAGTACACTAGTATTTTGGGGAAATCATTTATGTACAGAGAAAAAAGTACCGGGCCTAATACGGATCCCTGGGGTACTCCACACACTATTGTGCTGTATGCAGATTCGTTATTGTTAATCACCACTTTTTGTTTGCGCGAGGACAAGTAGCTTGAGAAGAACTGGAGTGAACTGTCACTGAAGCCATAACTTTCAAGTTTTTGTAATAGTATGTCGTGGGGAACTGTATCGAATGCCTTTTTAATATCTAGGAAGACTGCTATTGCGATTTCACCGTTGTGGAGCGCGGTGATTATATTGTGCGAGAGGGTTAGAATGGCTGATGCAGTAAACCTAGCGGGTCTACTGCGTCAATCAAGTTATAGAGAAATGCTCAGAATACAGCCAACTATACATAGCCTTCATAAATTACGAGAAGGCATTTGAATCAGTAGCAATATCAGCAGTCTTGCAGATACGGCTGAATCGGGGCGTCGGCAAAGCATATATAAACATACTGTAAGAAATCTACAGAGGATCAGCTGCCACCATAGTGTTAGAAATGCACGTGTCTTTTCATGGTTAGTGAAGGAAGAGGACGACGTACAGAGAGACTCTCATGCAGTGTTTGGCCTGTGTGGCGTCTAGTAGCCTGTGTGGCGTTTTCAGTGTAGCCTGTTCAAAGTCCTGCTTGGTATGGCATAACGTGACTGCATGAAGAACATATTTGACTACTCAAAACATGGTAATCATGGCATGTTTGTCATGAATGTCATGATTTACATTTCATGGTCCCGCAGCTTTTGCGGCGGTTTCGTTCACATGGCATGTTGCAAAACTGGTATAATATGACATGATTGCATGGTGAACACAAGCGACAGATTCTAACATGAAAATCATGACATGTGTGTCATTTAACAACATGACTACATGTCACGCTCGTGATGCGCTCGCGGCCGTTTCGCTAGCGTCACGTATACCAAATTTTGTATTACCGTACATGAATGGATGACGAAGATATGTGACTGGTGCAAACATAATAACCATGAGATGCGTGTCATGTAACAACTCGACTACATGCTACGCTCATGATGCGCTCTCGGCCGTTTGGCTAGCTTCACATATGCCAAATTTGGTATTACGTGACGCCAAAGGATGACGAAGGTATGTGACTGGTGCAAACATGATAATCGTGAGATGCGTGTCATGTGAGAGCATGACTACATGCCACAGTTAAGGCGCCAATACACTTTGACGTGACGCGGTGCGCGTGCTCACTGGCGTTCATTTTGTCACGTCATGCCGGCGTTACCACGCCAGGCGCCGGTCCTGCCATATATTCGCAGGCGCACCCCGCGCTGCGTTGCTGTGACGCATGCGCGTTTCAGTGCGTCTGGCGTTTCATCACGAAAAGAGGGAGACGCAGTGTTATCTGGGTAATGCATCGGCGCGATACATTACCCAGACAAATGCAGCATGTTGCATTTCGCGCCGGGTGCCGTCGGGCCGCGCCGCCGAATGCTGGTCTTGCCTGGTGTCAGACTATAGAGTGCTCGCGTTTTGCTAACGTAGTGTAGCTGCGCCCAACGTGCGCGCGCGTCAATGCTACTTTGGCGTATATTGGGTCCTTCATGATGCGTTCACGGCCGTTTCACAAACGCCACATATACCAAATTTGGTGTTATGTGACATCAATGGATGATAAAATATATTACTGGGACAAACATGGTAATTCTGACACGCGTGTCATGTAAGAACATGACAACATACCACGTTCATAGCGTGCTCGCGGCCATTTTGCTAGCTTCGCATATGCTAAATTTGGTATCACGTGATGTGAATAGATGACTACGGTAAACGACACATCCAAACATGGTAATCATGGCACGGAAGTCATGTAAGGCATCATTTAGCTCTACCTCGTAACGTTGTGCTGATTTTAAAGTGACATATCAACATTTATCATTCGTGCTTCGCATATCCTCGATTCCCACTGTACGTGGAATCTGCCTTTTTTTTTTCCCCATTTTTACGAGGTCGAAGTCAACAATAGTGCTCCATAAAGAAAATGACAGAATAACAATCAAGAAGGGTGTATAACAAGGGGATGCAATCTCCCCAATGCTAATTACCGCATGCTTACAGGAGGTTTTCAGAGGCCTGGAATGGGAAGAGTAAAGGATAACAGTTAATGGAGTACACCTTAGTAACCTGCGCTTTGCCGATGACTTGCATTGCTGAGTAAACTCAGGGGATGAATTGCAACTAATGCTTACTGAATTAGACAAGGGAAAATGAGAGCAGAAAGGTAGGTCCTAAAGTTAATCTGCAGAAAAGAAAGTAATATACAACAACCTCGGAAGAGAACAGTGCTTCGAGATAGGTGATAGTGCACTTGAAGTTGTAAAAGACTACGTCTACTTAGGACAGGCAATGACCGCGTAGCCGAACCACGAGATTGAAGGAACTGGAAGAATAAGCACAATCGGCAAGGATTCTCAAATCATGGCTGGTAGATTGCCACTATCCCTCAAGAGGAAGCTATATAACAGCTGCATCTTGCCAGTACTTACCTACGAAGCAGAAACCTGGAGGCTTACAAAGAGGGCTCAGCTCAAAATGTGTACGATGCAGTGAGCGATGGAAAAGAAAATGATAAGCGTCCTAAAGAGACAAGAAGAGAGCAGAGTGAATCAGGGAACAAACCGGGGTATGGATATCATAGTTGAAATCGAGAAGAAGAAATTGACATAGGCCGGACACGTAGCACGTAGGCAGGATGGTCATTAAGGGTAACTGACTGGATTCACAGAGAAGGCAAGCGGGTTAGTGGGGAGACAGAAAGTTAGGTGGGCACATGAGATTAGGAAGTTTGTGGGTATAAAGTGGCAGCAGCAAGCACACGACAGAGTTGACTGGCAGAACATGGCAGAGGCCTTTGTCCCTCAGTGGACATAGTCAGGCTGATGATGTCATTGTAAACTACTCAAGAAAAGTGAACACGTGCAACATCACCTTCAAAGCAAAAGCCTCATAAAAGCAAAATGGGAGAACTGAAGAACATTATCTAATGCGATACCTGTCCCTGGAACTGCACTGATGTGAAGATTTTTGCATGAACTTATTGTGATAAAGGCTGTAAATTTATTTCATTATTTATGATGCATGAAACTGTTCATGGCATTGTGGTTAATCGTTATGAGTGATAAATTCATATTTGGTATGCTGCTCTGCATCTTTAAAAAATCAGGGACTTTAAAGCGCTTAAAAATTCTTAATGTTCTCATTTTGGGCTGGCTCGGGAAAGTAAACGAAAGCACAATAGCATACCTGCCAACTCGCCTTGTTTGCCCAGGAGCCTCTCGATTTCTGTCCAATTATTGGAAGCCATAAATTGCCGCCATAAGTCTGGTAAACCCCTCTATCCAATTTCAGAAAAAGTACTACAGTGAAACAAAAAGCAGTGCTTAAAACAACACAGGCTTATTTTATAGCATACCAAAGAAAAAGTAATGTCCATGCAAGCCCGAAAGGTTCGCTGGCCACCGTGCTGGGCTATCTTCCTTTCAGTGAAATGCACAAACAGGCACACACCTCAACTGCCGACACTGCTGCCCATATGCCCCATTCTATGGCCCAGTTCGGAGAGGGTGCAGTAACAGTACCGAGGCTGGAACACTTCTATAGTAACGATGTTTCCATGAGGCCGCAAGTACCACTTTTAGTGTTTTTAAGGTGGAGGTTCTGTCGACCGATCACGGGTGTCACCCAAAAAATTTTTCGCTACCCCACTCCTGGTCGTGTCAGGAAGCAAACCCTCTCGGAAAGAAGTAATCATCAATGGTCGCGCGCATAAGTGCAGGAAGTGTTCCAACAGAATGAATGCTATGGAAGTCCACCTTTCATGTGCACCTGCTGAAGGATTGAAATTGCGCTATAGGTCTTGTTTAGCTTGAGACAAAAAGAAATGCTCCCAGTATGGTTTCTGCCAGGTAACAATCATTTGTTTGCAGGGAATCCCTGAAGGAGTGGCTGAAGGCCCGGGGCTACAGTCTGTCAGCTCTGCGGCAGTCCCATGGACACAATGCGCAGCATCAGCTGGGGCTTACTCCATTCAAGGCGGTTCGAAGAACAGCCTTGAGGTCAGCAGAAAACCAGGCATTGGGGACGTCTCCTGTGCTGCAAAAGCCTTCGAGGCATTCGTTACAGCAAACGGTAAATGTTTCAGTTGGCTTCAGGAAGCATAGCTATACCTGGGATAACAATGTTTTAAGATATCGTGCAGCTTTGATGGGAACACAAAGTCTGCAAAGAAAGCCTTGTGGTAGAACACTGATTGCTCATCTGTGACTCTAGACAATGAAAGTAATACCACTTCTGAAAGCCCAGCTTCGACTGGCTTTAAGTTTGCATGCTTTATTGGTAGTCTAAAAATGCAAACCTTGCACCGTCTTGTGTGGCTTTGTTGCATACATCATCTAAGCAGCAAGGCTCATTGTGGTAGCATATGTGATATAGCTCCTTAGGTTAGGGTTACGTGAGCAAGCAACATGCCTTGTGCAAGATGGAAGCTACACTTAGAATGTGTTGTATGCCATATTACACTCCTACATATAATCCTCAATGAGCTTGTGTTGCAATACTGTGGCGCTCACTCTCCATTGCGGATGCCTGGAATTAATTACCAGTAAAAGTGATAGAAAAAACAAGCTAATTTCTGCGACTGAAAGTTTATTTGCTTTTTTCACTAAGGGCATCCTACAAGTTTTTAGAGAATCTGAATGTGATAAACCTCATTAATTATGTCAACTATTAAAATGTTTATGTATTGATGATCTAAAATTAATTATCAGAGCAATACAAGATGCCTTTTGGGGAACCATTACAATCGGTTTGAGCTGCATAAAAGAGATTTGTTTTTTCTTTCTTTTTTTTATCATCTTACGGCTGTGATGGCGTGGAAATTCGCATGGAAAGTGCTAATAATTCTTTTTAAAATCTTACATTGTATTATGTGATGTATCAAACAAGTTTCAATTTTTTAGCAAGTGTGATATTTGTGGGCTCAAATGTACCAACAAGTATGTAGAGATACATCCTTAAGGGGCCAGTAAACAACCCCGTGGTCCGAAATTTGTTATGAAGAGAAATACGTGCACTTTTGCTTTGAGAACATGCTGCCGCAAGAATTTTGTGAGTACGTGCTATGTTAAGAAAGTTACAGGGGTCAGAACATTGGTTTCGGCTAGTTTCAAATATTTGCACGGTCTTGCCACCCTTCTCCTTCACTGGGAGCAGAAGGCGTAGCCCGTCATTATGACTGGCTTAGATAAAGACGAGCTGTGTGCTACGTCAAGTCTCTTATCCGTGACTTTGCATCACCACGCGTGAAAGGAGGATTGGTCAGGCATAGGAAAGTGAATAGTTTTTCGAAATGGATGCTTTGCGCAGGGAGCATGCAGCGCTGTAATATTCGGTGATTGCCGCGGCCTACTCCACAAATTGCCAAGCTTCTTTGGGGGGTGTAAATAAAAAGTGAGAGCCTGTTGACCGGCTCTTTAAAGGGGCCTACACGTAATTTTTTATTAAAAAGTGGAAACAGTGCCAACACATGACTGCATTTCTTTTTCAGAGTGAAAGTGACGAGGCATCAAAACACACCAGCATTGCTGATCTTCTGACAGATCTTCAGCAGTGTTTGAACCAGGTGAGGCAACAACTGTGACTGCAGCATTGCATCAAGTCAGCCAGCTTAGGTTGTCTAATTGTGAGTAGAGCAACCATTATCAGATTGAGAGAGTCATTCTGAATGATCGGGAGTGCAGTAAGAGATAGTCGCGTGGTCATTAATTCTGAGTGAACTTAACTTGACCTGGCCATGCTGTGTCAGCCCATTCCTATTCTTCAGCGGATTTCTCATTCATGATTTGGTTCTCTTGTTAGTAGCTGTCCTAGGCATACATATTCTTGTACACATTCAATGCATTGTTTTTGATCTTGAGATCTTTGTCACTTATCAGGCTGTTCAGTATTATTTTTGTCCTCATCATATTAATTTTTAGGCTTACTTTTTCTAGTAAATTCTTGCAGTTCTTTGCTATCATTACTGAAAAGCACAATGTCATCTGTATGTCATTGAGCCACTTTCTGTTAACCATGACCCCTGCTCCTTTTCATGTGTGGGTGTTGCTCATATAGTCATGTGTGGCTCTTATACTTTAAACAGACTCATCTGTCTATCCATCTGTCTTTGAATTCATCCTTTATACTAGTCTTGAACGTAGACATTAAGAGACGTAGCTTCGTCATTCAATTGGTGGAGATTTTTTATTATTTTGTACTGAGGCGCCTATATATCATTTTACGTCTTCATTCTTGTGTTTTAGTATAATGTTAGCATCATTGGAAGCATTGCTGTTTTGAGGCACAGAGTTTGAAGTGTACATAGTCTGTTCCAAATAAATTGTAGTCTGGCCATAATTAGATCGACTGTAATTCTGTCATCACCAGCTGCTTTTTCCGCGCAGCATATCACGCATGACCTTGTGGGTAGCTACATACAGAACTTGCGTGTCTTGCTTGCCACTACTTCCATAAAGTGGTGGATGACTTATTTTCGAAATATATTGTTAAGCATAGACTTTCTTCTGTTATCCAACCTAAATCATCCAACTTGATAATATTCTCTGCACTGGTCCTCTGGAGCATGAATTTTATTCCTTTCTAGACAGGATCTCTCTTTCTGCGGTTTTGAAGCTAGTGCCGTTTTTGACTACTGCTGAAAGAATAATGGAAAATGCTGGTGCGGCAGTTGCTGGCCTGTGCATTATAGTGGTTATCTGGGTGAGCTGAGCGATATAATGAGGTCGTCACAAACAGAGCTCTCAAAACAGGACAATGGAATAAAACAGCTCCACTGCGATGAAACCTGAGAAATTGTGTTGCATAGTGTTGCATAGGCACAATAATGTTGCAGTTGTTATTTTGGTGGTATTGTTATTGGTGCTTTCATTGGTGTTATTGCAATGTAGGTATTATGGTATCGGGGTGTTTCATTGCCATGTTCTGAGCTGTAGTGACGATTAGATGCTGTGTTGTTGCGCACGGAAGAGGCCATTCTGGTGCCTTATTGCGCACAATAGCTGGATTAGTCTGCCACTGTATATGTTTTGCTGGGGCTTGCTCCACATTGAGTTCTAGATTGGCTTGCCTGCACTGACAAAAGCTGAGCTATGAGGGACACTAAAGTCAAATAACAATTTATCTCAGAGTAAAAGCTCAATGTATGAAAACATGTAAAACGTCAATATGATTAACAGCAGTGCCTTACTTACCGAGAAATTGAGATAAATGCACAAGAATACATGTGCCACAGTAAGCCATTCTCAAAATGATCCCGAAACAGCCTACAATTAATCACTAGTAATCGACCTAGCTGCACTAAGTAAAGAACCTTCCGTGCATCAAGAGATGCAATAAAATGCTTCTTGTTCGTTTCTGTTGTTGCTGTGGCTCTCACTGCTTTCGTTCTGCTGCTACTAGTATCGGCAGTCGCGCAGTAAACCCGAGCAACGTCATGCATGGCAACAGTGACGTGAAATTGTCCACTTCTTGAGGCAACTAATTTAAAGTGCACTAACCCAATGCGGACCACTAAAATATGATTTCATTTAAAAGTAAGACCTTTCTTGGAACAAAAGTAACACTAGGAGGTTTCTAGACCGCTACTTCTACAATAACGTCGACTTAATAATTGCTTTTAGTGTCTCTTAGGGGCGAAGATTCTTACGGCGTGGCTTGTGTGTTCCGTTGTCGTCGTAGTACATAGCCTATGGCACATACCCGCATGCCAGTGGCATTATCACGCTCTCAGTGTTAACAAAGCGCTGACAGCAGAAATGTGGTACATACTCTCATTTAGTCCTCGGATTGTTCGCAAGATGTCGGTATTTGAAGTTGTCACTAAGTAGACGGACGGATGCACGGATGGACAGACAGACAAGCTGATGGACAGACAGACGGATGCATGAACGGGCGCATGTAGGAATGGACTGACGCATGGACGGAAGCACGGATGGATGGACGCTTCTCTCCACTCATCATCATTCATTCTGTGGATATGCTGTAAATTTTTTCACGATGCCAGAGTTCTGTCGTTGTCACTTACGTTCTGCAGCTGCTCATTGGGCCTTCACTCAGAAAGGCCCTGGCTGTTGTCACTTATCCTGTCACACTTGTCGAGCGGCAGCAGCCTTCACTTCAGGATTTGCCTGGTGCTGAAACAGTTTTTCCAGGTGCTGTTGCCAAATGGCTCACGTTGAGTGGGTGCCATAGAAGTGCCAGTTGCACACTTGGCAAGGCAGTGGCACCCTTTCTTAGGCGGCACGAGTGTCAGCCACATGTTTCCCCAGCATCCTTAGGGACCTTAAGTTAATTATTGCAATTATTTGCATATCTGTTAATTACGATATATTCGATCTTGCTTGTTTTGATAACCTGGTGTCATGAGTAAAACGGCGCGAGGCGCGTGCCAAACGGTGAACTGCGGCAATGGTGCATGATGCCCTGATGGCGCGCTTACGCAACGCGTTCACGTACGGGATTGGTTGGAGAAAAGCCTGCGACATGCGACCCAAGCTGTAGTGGAAAACCCCCAGGAGATGAGGTGGGATAGTTCTGTGGAGCGCCGAAAGAGGAAAGTTAAAAAAGACGGCGTCGCTTTCAAAGCGAAGGCTCTTTTATCCCGGATCTGTAGGCGGGGGCATTAGGGTACCGGAAAGCATAATTGGATCACGGTAGTCACTGAGAGACGCTTTCTAAACCTGTGGCCCCCCTCAACAGCAGGTCTCAAAACACCTGGTGCTCTTCACCTTCTTCACAGGACGGTGGCGACCCACTTGACTGTCCTTGAAGCGTACCGCGAAAGGGAGGCCTAATCTGTCGAGACCCATGACGAACGGGTCACAATTGAAAACAAGTGGATTGCAAACGGACGTGGGTTGACAAAAATGACTGCAAAATGACTTGAAGCACTTCGACAATGGAAAACTTTGTTGTAGTTATGAATCGCCACCACGAACAGTAAGAACATTCTATAGAAGAGTGAGCGTCTTTGAGGAATTGCATGGAAGTTGTAATGGCTATAAACTGGCTAGGCCTAGAGGTGACCCTAATGTGGCTGAATGTTAGTTTTGGTTTTGATGTATAGCCGAGTTCTGGGTGCTTGTGCGTGCTACATTAATTTTTAGTGTTTGTGTTTCTCATTCTTTGTTTGACAATGTGTGTTCGTCTTGCCACCACAATCTCCCGTCTCAATCCAATCCTCAGCCAGCACTCCCGAGATAATCGTGGCACCTGGTTCTGAGCATTGCTAGCCCTGTTTTATGCCTGTATTGACCAATTGATCTTGAGCACGATATTTATATGTGGATTACAAGCTGGCTCTCATGCTTCAAAGTGCTATGCACTTAAAAGCATGAGACGCGGTGCATTGCAGAAGTGACTGCAAAGAACTGCTGCAATGCATTGACACAGCACTGCTAGTGCAATGATTGTTATATAATATGGAGCGTGCTGCATTTTCCATGCCATTTCACATGAGTTTAACATAACTGAAAAGCATGTCAAATGGAGCATACATGTTCATGTTTTGGACACACTAGTGTTCAATACATTGTTGGCGTCGTGGCTCAAAAGAAATGTGACTAAAGTTGCATTGGAGGCATACACCTTAAGGCTGGTGCACACCAGCGACTAGCAGCGGTCACGCGACCATTCGCGACTGGCGACCAAAAAGTGACTGATGTTCACACCGGCAGAAGTTGCATGCGAGCGACCGGAAGACGCGAACCGGATAGTCACGTCCGGATCTCGTTATCAGCGAGAACTCTGGAGACCGACGCCGATAGCTAATCGCCGCCAACTGAGTGAGCGGAGCAAACCGAGCGCGCTACATTCATTGTTTTCATCCGTTCTCGCATAGCGTTCTCAACAGCATCAAGGAGCTCGATTCAAGCGAAGAACAAGAGATAGAGATTGTCATGGTGCTGGTGCGCTGTGCCATGGTGTCAGCGCTTGCAGCACTGATGCATCCAAACAAAAAAAGCTGGTGGTGGGTGTGACCCTCTTCGATCGCGGGAGTTGGCCGGCCATGCAAGCCACCTGCCTCCAGAGCAGCGCTGAGACGACGAGGAGTATTTCCGAGAGTCGTACGTATTCAGAAACGCTCTTGAATTTATCTCAACTTGTCACAGCCTTCAATGCAGCACAAACGCGTCTCGAATGCGGGGTCTAAAGTCGTTGCCAAGGCATGAAGCACAAACTCGTTCTCAACGCGCTGCATCGTAGGCTGTGACAAGTCAAATTCAAGAGAGAAAACGATTCTGAATATGGGAGAACGATAGTGCACAATTTATTTTCTCTTTACTTTGACGGTGTTAAAGCTTCTTGCGAATGCCGCCACGCAAATTCGACACTTTCCTCGAGCTGCTCTGCCCCACCACTTCCAAGCCAAGTATTCCGTGGTAACCATGGTGCCACAGACCCAGAGGAACGCAGTCGTTTGTATCTGGCGGCAGAAGACCAAAACAATGAAAAAAAAAGTGAGCATCGCTGATTAGTTCCAGCAGCTTTGCGACTGCAGTCGCTTTGCGACCGTTTGCGACCACTGTTTGCGACCAGTCGCATATGGTCACGCGACCACTGCTAGTCGCCGGTGAGCACCAGCCTTTATAGCATAATTATAGTGTAATGATTGATTGACATGTGGGGTTTAACGTTCCAAAACCACCATATGATTATGAGAGACGCCGTAGTGGAGGGCTCTGGAAATTTCGACCACCTGGGGTTCTTTAACGTGCACTTAAATCTGAGTACACGGGCCTACAACATTGCCGTCTCCATCGGAAATGCAGCCGCCACAGCCGGGATTCGAACCCACGACCTGCGGGTCAGCAGCCGAGTGCCTTACCCACTAGACCACCGCGGCGGGGCCATAATTATAGTGTACGCTCACTGAATGATACATTATTTAACCCGTTTACTGAAAGATCAGTAGGTATGAAACCAATCGTCAGTTCCGTATAAGATATTTCTGTTTACAGAGAGTAATGTAATTTGATACTTCTAGCTCAAGTTTGGTGTAATATGAATCCCCAAGTACTTGTAGGAAGTATCGGAATCCAGGCCACTGTTATTTAAAGGGACCCTGAAACGGTTTTGGCGACTTTGTACAATTACATTGGGGTGGTAGACCAAGTCCCAAGGGTTGTCTAGAGACCTATTTGAGTTCTCTGCGTAAACTGTGTAATTTATTACAACACTTTATAGCTTTAAATTGCTGCAGATCGGTGCGACTCAGCCAAATGCATTTTCAACTGCCTATTCACAGAGCGACATGCTCTAGTCACTAGACGAGGCCTAAGCATGTCAGCAGCCACGGTGACGTGGCTGCTGATCTCATTGGCTGTAGAATGCGTGGAAATAAAATCGGCTGGTCGGGTGGTGGCACCTGTCGTAGCAGATATGAATCACTCTGAAATCTTGTCTCTGTTGCCAGACGACAAGCGTGCTGCCGGGAGCACTATGTGATGGCCTCGAAGACTGCACAAAACCAGCTGGCGTGCCATCTCCAAGGTCTACACTAGTAAAAGCTCAAATTGTTGAGCGCGCTCATGAGAGCTCTGTCATCGTCGCTGATGCCAGTGTGCCTTAAAGGGACACTAAAGTAAAACAACAATTTGCGTCAGAGTGAAAGCTCAACGTATGACAACATCTAAAATGACAATATTATCAACAACAGTGCCCTACTTACCGAGAAATTAAGGTAACTGCACAGGAACACATGTGCCGCAGTAGGACATTTGCAATATGATCCCAATGGCATTAGACGGACCGCCTACGATTAATCACTAATAATCGATCTAGCTGCACTAAATAAAGAACTTTTTGTGCATCAAGAGACGTAATAAAATGCTGCTTGTTAGTTTCTGTTTGATTCATGGAGAAAATAACCGCTGGACGTTACTATGGAGAATGACGCAAGTGGTTCAAAAATTCAATTTTCGTGTAGTTAAACTGACAGGTAGTGCCATCTAGCGGTGTGCAGTTGAACCAAAAAACGTCTGCAATCTTGGAGCCAATGGCAGGAAATTGATCAATGGCCGTTGTTCTTGCTGTGGCTCCCGCTGCTTTCGGTCTGCTGCTGCTAGTGTCGGCGGCCGCGCAGTAAAGCCGGGCAACTTTGTGCATGGCAACAGTGACATGAGTTGCTTCGGTCTGTCCGCTTCTTGAGGCGGGTAATTTGAAGTGCGCTAACCCAGTGCGGACCACTAAAACAAGATTTTTAGGGGCGAAGCTCCTTATGGCGTGGCTTGTGCGTCCCTCGTAGTATGTAACCACCAGTGGCACATACCCGAAATAGCGGTCCTTATGATTTTGACCTCCAAGGTGGTTCCGGTGAGCGATTTCTCCTGTGCGTTGTTGAACAATAAAAGATAGTGCTCAATGCACATGTTAATGGCTGCTAAGGGGGAATGAGAGACAGGAGCATTCGGCCTTTAGGTAATGCGCACGCTGCGATCCCCATCAGCAGCTATTGGCATGTACATTGAGCACGATCTGACAAGAAAGGGTTGCTACGTTATACTCACTGGACGTAACCTCCTTGGTTTTAGAAAGGTTTAGCGAGCGTTGGGCCGCATAGCCATGAATACAGTGAACTAGTATATACCATGAACTCGAGGTGGTTAAAGGTGGGAAGTAAACCCGAAGCGCAAGCCGTAAGAAAGTGTGCATGTGTCACATCCCGTTTAGTCCTTGAAATGTCCGCTGGATGGCGGTGCTTCTATATGGAGAATATATGATGAAAAGATGCGAGATGGTGGTACTTGGAGTGCTGAATAGATGGACGAACGGACACACAGACAGATGCATGGATGGACGCATGAACGGACGCAGGCGCGGATGCATGGACGAACGCAGGGACGGACGCACGGACGGGTGGATGGACGCATGGACGGTTACACAGACGTACGCAGGAACGGACGGAAGCAAGAACGAATGGACGGACGAATGCTTCGCCCCACTCCCCATCATTCACTCCGTGGATATGCTGCCATTTTTTTAATCCAAAATAGGCCCTTCCTTGGCACAAAAGTAGCACTACGAGGTTTCTGGGTTTCTATTTCAACAATCAACGCTTACTTAATAGTTGCCTTTAGTGTCTCTTTAAGAGTTGGAGGCCAGGCAGATGTGAGGATATAATATAATTGTCCGTAGCGGCCTTGGTACACGGCGTGTTACTAAGTTTGTGGTGGGAATAATTTGATGATGCTCTAGCCTAAGCGCTGACAAAACTTGATAAAAAAAAACGTTTTAGTGTCCCTTTGAGGTAAATTAAGAAGGCTTCATAAAGAAGGCCTCATAAACACGTAAAACTTTACATCTGTTGGTGTTCAGTTCTGTGCTAAGTTCTGCGCCAGCCAGCAATATTAGAGATGTCAGTCAGTTTGCAACCTGCATCAAGGTTACTTGGTGCTAATGTGCAAACCCTCTTTTCTGCAGCCAAATCCGCCAGAGGATGCAGAGACATTGCTCAACCAGCTGGAAGAACATGTGCCCAGTGTAACGGATTACCCAGCCTTCTGGATATGTCGCTGTGTTTGCTACGAGAAAGCTGGGGACTCAGCTGAAGCTGTAAAATCACTCACCCTGGGGCTGGACTTTGTCGCTACTGTGAGTATTTTTCAACACTTCCCTGTCCGCAGGAAACTAGGCTGTTTTGGGGTCAGATAGTAAATAATTTCTTACTGCTACACCAAATGCTTTATATTACAATGTAAAGTATCAATTTGTAGCAGTATGGATGTGCTTTCTGATGGTTTATTAACCATTTTTTGAAGAAAAATACCAAATAAAAAATGTGTACCAAGAACAAGAATACTCAGTTAGAATATTAATGCTGCTTTGCACCAATGCAACCTGGAAAATTTCCATGTATACATTTTAAAAAAGGCTGTATACAGTGTTACTGCGAATATGAACTTGCTATCTGTACAAATTAATTTTATGCAAAAGAAAATATTAACCCTAGTGGCTATTGTGCCACCGCACATAGCAGTTGCATGGTGTGGTGAAGCACAAGTTTACGGAGCATCTCTCACAGGAAACGTTTGTTTTTTGTTCAACTTTCCGTTCTTAATAGCACAGCTCGCAGTTTCTGTATCTTCCCCGTGTATACACTTAATTTAACAGTGCAACCCAATTCGGAGTCCGCCAAAACCCACAATTTATATCCCCATTTGATAACTTTGTCTCGTATGTACTGCCGAATTACAGATCTGCCTTTGGATTTTACTACTCTGTCGTCAACGAAGAGGCTCTGGTCAGGTTGCAAAAATTGAGCGGATGAGGCGTTGATGTGCTTCAACAGTGAAGCTTTGTGATGCAGCTTGCCATGGGGCGCAACAGTTGTCTTGTCGGACACACTACAGAGTGCGAGTAGTGCTTTGGATCGATTTCTTGGCATTATCAAAGGTAGAATAAGATTAGAAAAGAAAATAATTTCCATGTGTTCCAATAGCAGTGCAAACGCGTCACTTGCACGATACCCATGTAAATGAGAAGACTGATAAACTTCATCTCATTGGGAGTCGCTTCCTTCCATGATCTGTCTCTCTCACTGTATGACTACTTCTCCAAAATATGCATCCACGCCTATCTATTAGTCACAGTGCATATCTCTGCGATTATTTCTGTTGTTGTGTAGAACAGTGCGAAGAAATCCACGGCTCTTATGGAGCGCCGTGTGGCACTGCGTTGCGCAATGCTGAGGTCAACACCCAGTTGTCCTTTTGTGCAAAACTCCACTGTTCATGCTTTCGTCGACAAGTGATACTGTCCAAATGACGTTGACACCCTACAGATAAGAACCGCAACCTTTAGAACACTCGAAATGTCTTTATATCTGATCGCTGCCACGATGAAATGATTCGGAGTAGGAAATGGAGCTTACCGGCAAATACCTGTCGACATTCCGGGGCTGCTTGACGCACTTTTGCCATCCATGCTAAGGTCTGATTACTCAAAGTCATCTCCCGAGTCTTCGCTGCTGCTCCATCACAAAATTCTGATGTCGGCTCATCGGAATCTATTGAAATTCACCGTTTCTGAGAGTCAGCTACACACGGTCAGAAAGTATGAGTCAGAAAGTACGAGTGCTCATCAAACGTAATTAAAAGGCGCTGTTTAAACATTTTTATGCACTCAAAATGCAATAAAATTTTAATTGAAACAATCGACAACATACTGTCGATGAGTATAAGCACTCACACTGTCAAACCTGCAAGATTATACCGCAGAGAGTTTGGTCAGAAGCAGTAGTTGTGAGAATTGGTTCTGCAGGCTGTTGGTTCTGCAAGGTGTGAGAAAAAATCTATATGTCAAGTGCATTATTTTGCCAGGGCAGATACATTGACTCAATAGATGAACTTAGAAGTGTTTTTTTCCGTTGCACTGGTGGAATCTAGTGCAAAATGTTGAAAGGCATAACAAAGGGTTTCCTGTAAATCATATAACAGATAGCGCATGAAATTGCAATATGAATGTGTACATTACAGGTTAATGTGCAATATAGTCCATTGCGGGAGTTGCGGTGCCTGGCTGCTAACCCGAGGGTCACAGATTCAGTCCAAGCCATAGAGGTTGCATTTCAGTTCTTGTACTGTGAGATGTAAAGTCAAATAACAGTTTGTCAGAGTGAAAGCTCAATGTATGGAAACGTTTAAAACGACAACATTATCAACAGCAGTGCCCTACCTACCGAGAAATCGATGTAAATGCAAGAGAACACGTGCCCTACGAGTAGAACATTCGCCAGATGATCCCTATGACGTCAAAGTTACCACCTACAATTAATCACTAGCAATCGAACTAGCTGCACTACATAAGTAACCTTCCGTGCATAAAGAGACGTTATAAAATGCTGCTGGTACATTTCTGTTTTATTAATGGAAAAAAAAAACGCCGGGCGTTACTATAGGAAATAGCGCTAGTGGCTCAAAAGTTCAGTTTTTGCCTGGTTAAAATGAACAGGTCATGCCATCTCAGAGGCCATGCAAGGAAATTTTTGGGCCGTTAAACTCCCACATCCATCCATCCGCCATGGAAGGAAATCGTTCAATGGCCGTTGTTGCTGCTGTGGCTCTTGCTACTTTCGCTCTGCTGCTACTAGTGTCGGTGGCCATGCAGTAAATCCGGCCAACGTTGTGCACAGCAACAGTGACGTGTGTGTTTCCACTCGAGGCGGGTGATTTGAAGTGTGCAAACGCGATGTGGACCACTAAAACGTCATTTTATTTCAAAATAAGCGCTTCCTCAGCACAGAAGTGGCACTGTGAAGTTTCTGGACTGCTATTTCAGCAATCAACATTGACTTAATATTTGCCTTTAGTGTCCCTTTAAGGAACACTGCATAGTTGAAATTTTCAACGCACTCCACTACGGCATTCCCCATATTGCTACGGAGATGAAATGAAGGACTATGAAGAGCTGGAGAAGCTTACTGGTGCACATTTCGTAACTTGTGGCAATGGCAATTCACATATATGCCAGAGCCGTCAGGGCCAAGCAAGGCAAAGCCCACGCAATAAAATGATGACGAGAGGAATAGCGCTGAATGAATGGGGCAGGCGGCAGCGAAGGCCTTTTCCGGCGTTGGCATAGGTTTCTGGTAGTATCACAACAAGAAAAAACAATGTCGTGAAACTCCAAGATGTCTTGCGAAGTAGTTCAGGTATGATGAAAAACAACCAGCAGGGCCTTCAATGCTAAGAGGATGACGCTATGCAGTGGCGCTTGAAGCCCTAGATATTCACATACAGTGGGGGTCCAGTTATGCCGTTTTGCTACAATTCCTACACCTTTACTTATTTCACTATACTGCAGGCCAACTTGCTGTACACATAAAAGATCAAACTACAAGTATAGATCAAACTACAAGTATGCTTATACATGCAATGATGGAATTTTGAACATGGGGGCATAAAATAGGGTGCATAAAATTATTAAGGCTCATACATAGAGAAATAAAACATCATCAGAACTAAGGAAACATTTAATCTAACAAAAAATATCAGAGCTTGGACCAAGTGTGGCAACATAATGACTGAATCTGGAGGTCTGTTCCAGTCCTCTATGCAGACGAATATCAATAATTCGAACTTGCAACGAGGTGCCGTCAAAGCTATGTGTATTCCAATGGGTGAAAACGCCCGGTAATTAGAACGCGCAAGCACTTGCGACGATTAATTCGAACATACCGCGTTCCGAAAATACTCTCAGCACCCCGCCCGATCCCGCGGCGGCACCTGCGACACCTCAATGCTGCGCCCGAAGGAAATGAAAAAGAAAGAAAAGGCTGCAGTGGAATGTTCTCTCTCTCAAATGCCGATCTGCGACGCGCCTGTGTCATGCTTCTCCCTTTTCCGTGCCTGCCATGTAAAGACCCTTCTCCTTCCAACGCCGCGCGCGAACAGAGAGAGGGGAAAAAAAAAGCTGTCGCTGGGTTGAATGAATGTGTGATTGAAGGAAAAAGGAATGTGTGTTACAAAAGGAAAAAGGGCACTATCTTCTGCAGCACGGAGGAAGGAAAGGTAGGAGAGGCCCTGACGTCACTCGTGAAGCCGCGATGAATCCGGAAGTCGGCCATATTGACTGGGCGAATTCTCCTCTCTTGTTTACATCCGAATGTAAAACAGAAGGCGCGACTCTCTCTCTCCGGCTCGAAAAGCACGTGGGCTGCGCAGCGCGTGTGTCATGACGATCCGAAACTAATGGAACGGGGCTCAACACTCTGGGCCAGTGCAACGCCTTCGGCGAAATCATTTCGTCCGAGCATTAACAGCGAGTAGCAGCTCACTGACAACGAAGCAAGTACAAGAAACGCGCGCTAGATGCACTGACAACAGCGAGTGTTTTCACGCCATTAATTCAGCAACTGTACAGACAACACGATCGGTCGTGCGCCTTCTACGGTTGGATTCCGCCACACGGCCGACGCAGCATCCGGGCACTGTGTCCGTGTTCCGCGTGAAACTCATTGGCGTCAGCATTTTGCGACCGTGGCGACTTTGAGCACAGTGCAAGCGACACTTGAATGCGGTTGCTGTTACGTTGAGATTACATGCAATGCTGGGGGAGAGTATACGAAGCGGAACAGAAAAGGTGTTTTAATACGCACATGCAAGCTGTTACTGTGCACACACAACACGAAACTACGTATGTGCCTATGGTCCTCACTGCATCTTGCTGGGCTCAACAGCGTCGTCCGTTGTCACAAGCAGGAGCACTGTTTAACCGTCACTGACCTTCAAGGCGTTCGTCGTCGTTCCGCTTCGTCATAGTGCCCAGCGCAATTTCGCTGAACACTAATTGCTTCATCCGCGTCATTCGCCGCACGACACTCATGGATATGCACTCGTTCTATGCACTGTTGAAACCCCATGATGGACAAAGGGATTTGTAAACGTTAAGAGTACAGTAACTGCCAGGAGAACACTGCGTAACCAATAATGCGGCGCAGAGCACCGATATTGTCCGCCACTGCTCAACACGAGACCTGGGGAGGCACACATGCCGCCGCCCGCCGCGGCCGCTCACTGCTAGACCAGCTCCACTGCGCAACACGTCACCATAGCAACGCCGCCATTGTGCCCAGTGAATATGGCTGCCATGAT